GGGGGGGCGCTACATGCAAGCCATGTCCTGGAAGCTGGCTGGGGGGAAGAAAGAGGAAGTGGCAAGGTGGTGGGGGGGGGGGGTGGCAGGAGGCACATGAAGAGCTCACTTGGGCAGTGCAGGTGTATGTGCAATCTACCCCTCCTCTCCTTGATCTGGCCAGCGCCTGCCCCTGTGGCACACTGCATGGGGCTGTGCTCCCACCCATCCCCAACTCTGGCCCAGTCAGTGTGCACAGTGCTGGGTGCAGGCAGGGCTCAGTCCCATGTGGAGTGATGTAGCAGCAGCCACAGGCCAGATTCAATCATTTGCCAAGCCAGACCTGGTCCACAGGCGATATTTTTCCTACCCCTGCTCTACAGCTCTTAGGACTGGGAGGTATACATTGAAGCATCTGAAGTATTTTAAGATCAGACACATGAGATAGAAGCAGTATGTCATGAAGATTAGCTTGATAAGTTCTTTCTACATTCTTCATTTGCATGGAGTTACAAGAGTATTAAAATCTCTCCCTAAAGTCTCTGATGTGAAAAGAACAATTTTAAGCCATCTATACCCCTACAAATTTTAAACACATTTTCTTAAAAAAGTAGTAAGGCTCTTATTCTACCACCAGACTTCTGAATTATTATATTAAATATAAAGCAACAGCAAGATCATTTTACCAAGACTCATATCACAACAGTATATATGAAATCAAAATTTAAAGATGCCTGCAGAGATGGGATGCAGCTCCCATTCATATGATCTGTATGCAAAATACTTGTATTTTTAATGCCAAAAAAAAGTACATATCTACCAAATAGCTAAAAGGAGCACCATAAATTAATTATTCAGCACTCAAGTATTTTCACTTACGTGGGTTTCTTCCCATTTTTATTTGATTTTAAATCCATATTTTATTTAACTTAATTTTCTTTATTATACTTCATTTTTTTTCTGAATTTTGTAAATTTTATAGATTATATACTGAAACTACTTATTCAATTTTCTTTTTTTCCCCCTATTGCTACAGTCAACATAAAAGATTAAGCAACAGAACATTTGACAACATTTCTCAAGAGGATGAAATCATTGTAGATCCTCTCTCATCTCCCTAGATGATAGGGGACTAGAGTGTCATTCTGTGGGTAAGGAAACACATCTGGAGCAGCAGCTGTTACATTCTAATTGTTATGTATAGACAAGTTGAGAAGGATACAAACATAGCAAAAATACTGCAACTTTAATACTAGATAAAGCAGTTAAAGTTGGAGTGGTGCTTTGCTGGTGCCCTTCTGAAACATTCACCTTTTGAAACTGTTCCAAATGTATGCCTGTCCATACCCTTTGAGACTGCTAGGGGCTCTACCACTCTCCCCAGAATTTAGACCAAAACTGGCAAGCGTGCTTTTCAAAGCGTTTTACAAAAGATACTGAAATTGAAATCTCCTATACAACTAAGAACAGCATGCATCATTCACAATGTCCAGCTAAGTAAGTCCGTAAGACTTACTAAACATTATCCATGCACAACAATTTATTAGTGGAAAAACATGACAGCAATTAATTAATAGTATGAAGTGGAACATAATATAAGTACTAAAAGAAGTCAGAAAATTTATGAAATATAAACAAGGAATATCATTGTTCTTGATTTATTTTATGCTCACATGCACTATTCGTTTATTTTAATATTCAAGTGTGACCTAGCTTTAAGAAGTAAACAAACAAGTCTAATACCTATCCCACTGAAATATCTTAAAAATATATAACAAAGTATTTTATACCTTATTATTTCCATACGCCATATCCATGGCTTCCAGAGACAAGGAGCAAAGGGCATTTATTAAATGATGTAAAGACACATCATCAAGGTACCTGAAAAATATCAGCTATCAACATACTGTCAGGGTTTACACAAACAAATATTATGATTATAAGATGATGTTTCTTACTGTGAACTTTCAAATAGTCTTGAAAGTATGTTGGATATAACTGGCAGATCAGTCATAACTGCAGTAGTTAGAACCTACGAACAAACACAAGTTTGTTTCATAAACTACAAGAGAAATACGGCACAAACATTAAATTATATAATGAACAATTAAACTTACTGTGCTGGGTCCTTCTACAGCTCTTCCTGGTTTTAAGGCACCCCCAACACCAGGTTTTAATCCCAGAATCCAAACAAGATGCTAAAACACAAAAATAAATTTCTAATAGTGGTATACCAACTCATGAATATTAAGTACTCTGCTTATATTCAAGAGATCAGATCTCCAAATACTTATTTGAACACAGTAAGAAAAATCTCATCAGATTCCAAGATTCTGCTTTACCTGCTTTGGAGAGCAGTAAGCTTGTATATGTTTTCTCAAGGTATGTTTGTAGAGCACAAGGCAGAAATATGATGAAACAGGATCAATTGGAGGTAACCCCGAACACAGCTTATTGGTAAAGTGTAGCTCTAAAGCAGCCACCCTACTTCTGATTCAGAAGATGGCTCACAGGGCTGCTTCACCTTACGTAGATATTCTTTGAAAACATATTTAACTGAGTTCAGAGGACAGGTGTCACAGCACTCCTTTGAGAGAGTCTGAACATACACTGAAGACATAATTTAAGTTTTTCTGCTGCTGTGGCAGATGGATGATGCTCACATGAGACATCAAACACCAGTTATCACCAAAAAGCAAAGTAATCAGAATTACATATACCATACCTGAAGAGTAGCCAGGACTAGTTGCCATGATGTACCAAGAACAGCTCCATGGCAGTGAGCCAAGTTAAGCAACGTCCTCATGCACTGGATATTTTTTGAAGTCAGCTAAATAGAACATTTAAAATGGTTTTATTTTTATTATAGCAAATCAACTGCATTCCTAGTAAAACAACAGTAATCCTAAAAATATTTAATGGTAAATTAAACTGAAAACATGAACTTGTGTGGCATATGTAATTTTAGGGAAGTACCTCAATAGCTTTAAGAACTGCCCCCATATTCCAACTAAATAGATTAAATATAGTTTGACAGCAAAGAAAGAAAAATTACTCTCAATATCTACTACAGAAATATGTATACTACGAGCTATCTGAAACATTTTTTACATGGTTGTCCAATTCACTTCTAAAATAACAATTCCTAAACCTCAGTGGAGGGCAATAACAAGTATGGATGTTAATAATGAGTGCCAATGACAGATTACTCAAGTATAGAAGGAAATACCTTCAACACCTGTTTGAGTATGCCTATACTGCAGACCACAGCAAAGTCTGGGCTCCTAAGTACATCCATATTGAACTTGCCATGCCACCTGAAAGCTTCTCTAGTGCAGAGCCAAATACAAATCATACCCGTGTAGCCACATCCACACTGGATCTCCTGTAAATCAGGTTAGGTACTAGAATTCCTGGGAATGCGATGCAAGGTTCTTAGTCTGCCACCAACTACCAACAGGTGCTCTAGGACAGTGGTCTCCAAAGTGGGGTGTGCGCAAGACAATCCACTGGGGTGCAGGAAGAAAATATTAGAGCTTCTATTTATATGTATATTTATATAAATATACATATATTGGGGGTGCATGCTCAAAAACTTTTTACCGATGGGGTGCGCAAATATAAATATACATATATTGGGGGTGAGTGCTCAAAAATTTTTTACTGACAGGGGTGCGCAATCAAAAGAGTCTGGAGACCACTGCTCTAGGAAATGCTTTAGTCTTCTGTGGAACAATTTTTCTGTCTTTCCCAAATTCCTGTATAGAAATGTTCTTAGGCTACCAAAACATTTAATGGAGGCACTTCTGACAACACATTTTTCACTTCCATCTGTTCTAGCTGCTACTAGCTAAGCCATGTACCCAGCATATGCATCCAGCATAGCTGGATGAACTATTCTGGCTTGTGGCTACACTTGTTTTGCAGCTGGACCCAGACAGAGGACTGCAGTTAGACCCAGATGGAAGACTGCAGTTCAGCAGCAGCTTATGACGCTTGTTAGACAGCAACAGGTCACAGAAGGCAGTTCATTCATGTTGCATGGTGACATGGCAGATTGGAGACAAACTACAGGCAGTCCTCAGACTTATGACAACTGGTTCCTGAAAACTGTGTCTTAGGTCAAAACACTGTAACTTGGAACCAATTTTCCCATAGGCAACGTTATAAATGGGGGATTGGTTCCTGATCCAAGGCCCAATACCCTATTTACATAAAAAATAACCCATAATTTTGTACTCAGTCTATTACGTATGAGTAATATAGCTACATTAATGTATTTATATTGTAAATAGCAATCATATTGATTTGTAAGGCCTTCTTTGAGGTGACTTTGCTGGATTTTTGCAGGGTTCTTGGCTGGAATTTTCTCAGGAGTCTTGGCTGCAGGTTTTTCTGGAATCTTGGCTGCTTTCTTAAAGAAAGTGTCCAAGGAAGTTTGGACAGATGCTCTCCAGGGAGATGCGCGACACAGAAAATTCATTCGCTGGCGTCACATCAGATCAAGCATTGTAAAGTTGAAACTGACGTCAGAAAGTTTCATAGTTTCTAGGGTCGGAAGGGACCTGAGCAGATCATCTAGTCCGAACCCCTGCCATGGCAGGAAAGAGTACTGGGGTCAAACGACCCCAGTAAGGTAGTCATCCAACCTC